TGCCACTGTAGGTAATATTCAGTGTGTCTCCTTTCCTTCCCCTCTGAACATCCGATACCATGGCAGCATCCCTGCTCGCAGGGGGATTAGGTGCTAGCACAGACCACTGCTGCTGTATCCAATTCCTACTGATTTATTCAAATAACTTGGAAAAGTACATCCAGCAGCTGAGTTCAGAAAAACTCTGTTGAAAAACATGCCTGGCTCTTCAGGGGCTATTGCTGTGAGATCTGTGAAAAGAGCAAACCCCAAACTCTCATGTGCACCAGGGGTGGGGAATGGAAGGGTTGTGGGTCTGAATGTCTGTAGGAAGAAATGTGCCTGGGGTATCAAAGGAGCTGGAGAGGTGGTCACACTAGACAATTTTTGAATTTAATTTAGAAATAGAAGGAAAATAGGAATCACAACATTTGAAATATCTGCCTAGAACTGAATGGTGTGCTTGCTGTATTACTTTGCAGTGGCAAAGCCAGGTTTGCCTGCAGAATGTCTGTGCCTCTTCCCTGATAGCTCCTATGTTGTTTTTCCTCCTGGGGTTAACACAGTGAAAGGGAAAACAATATTTTTGTGTGAGTTGGGTGCCTCTTTGCTGGCTTGTCCTGGACCTGCAGGAAAACTGACCAAATTGGAGCTGCTGTGAAGGGCTACTCAGTCATTAGTCCAGAGAGGGTCATGAGCCATGGGATTTCAGTGCCTTACTCCCAAGGGTAACTGAACAGTTAGTAAGGAAAATCCTCCTGAAAGACACCCTGCTTTGATACATTCAGATAAGCCCAGCAGCATGATCAAAATACACAGCTACAACAAAGGCTTCCTGCCATGGATATGCAAATATTGAGATCAGTGCAAATCACAGACCTCATGCAAAGCAAACTGTGACTGCTGTTTACCTCTGGTGCACAGCACCCACAGCTACAAGGCTTCCCTCTTTTATGCTTGTGTCAAGTTGCTCTTGAAAGCTTCTGCTGAGCAATAATTTCTGCACCTTGTTCCAGTGGTTGCCCCTTTCATGTGATCCCCCCAGGAGTCTGCCATGCCTTGACATAGTTTTATGTTTGTCCACTTTCTCTGGCCTGAACCAGACTGTCTAAAAAGCAAGCTTCGGTCCTTCACTGGTATTTTTTAAACTTTCCCTTGCCAGAATCTCACTGCTTTTCTGGAAGTAAACAATTCCTGGGGCTGCTTGCTCAAAACACACATTTTGCAGCTTATTACCATAGCGATCTTTCCCAGAGATTCTCTCTCCATATGTGGATTGCTTCGTGCCGTGAGCAGCTCCCAGACTGCATGAATGTTTCTCAGCTCCTTCTCCCCGAGAGGCAAGCAGGGAGGATGGTCCCAGTTCCCCGCAATGGAGGCAATGCTGGAAGTGATGCTGGAGTCGAGGAGTGGAAGAGATGCATAATCATGGAGGCAGCATGCCTAATTAATGACCTGAAACCAGCTGGAAAGGTCAGTTTGTTTGCGGGGGCTGCGCTCGAGGCACGAGTGCTGAATGCGAACTTGGCCTCGGAAAGGGCACTGCTCCCTCCCGGGATGGAGGGGAGGAGGGAGAGCCAACACAGGAGGCTTGACAGCCTTCAGCCTCTCTCATTAGTGTGCACCAGCCTGGGATGGGTCTCTCTTCAGCCTCTCTCATTAGTGTGCACCCAGCCTGTCCCCCCTTGTCTGGCGAGCCCCGTTCCTCGTGGGGTTCTGCTGACAAGCCAGGCTGCTTTCTGGGGAAAGGGCAGGCTCCTGCAGGTCTTTGGTGTGGGATGCTGCAGAGAACAGGCTGTTTTTTCTGGGCTGTCTTGTCAGACACTTGTCGACTGAGTTTGATCTGCAGAGTCTTATTACTCATATTAACGCTGTCAGCAGCACGTGTGCAAAAATTGAGCGTCTGGATGCAAACGTCAGGGAATTGATATAAAAATGTTCTTTGCTAGCTGTTCTTTGTCCCTGTGGAACTTTTCTCTACAGTGTTCCAGGGGCTAAAAATTCAAGTTTCTTGCCTAATCCCAGGGCTCTGGGAGTTTAAGGCTTTATGAATATTACAAATTATCATTGAGCATGGTATAGACCTGTAAAGACAGCTGTCCTGTAGGACAAGGTGTGCCATGGGTTACCATGTGAGATCTTCAGGGTACTTGCCAGCCCTTGCAATTTCTGACCACCCTTCATCTCAACGCTTGGGCAGAGCCATGAGATAACCTGCAGAGAAAATCAAGGGGAGACAGCATTACTGAGTCACTTTGCAGACAGTGCTGGGCACTTCTGGTGTCAATAAAATCACAGAGATGTCACACGCACAACAATGGTGGCAATGAGAGGAAAGTGCCTTTGATGAAGCAGGTTTTCTCCCTCTCTGAAATGAACACAATGCCATCCCAGCTGTTCCCCACTTGCAGAGAGCTCTCTTTCTAGTGGTGTTTCTGGGACAAACCCTTTTCTTCAGGCCTTTGGCCTCATGTTCCCCTCGAGCTCTTTGTCCCAGCAAACTGAACTGATCAAAGCTGCTTTTGCTATGCAGTGGATCAGGAGCAACAGTTGTTGGCTGTGTTTAGCTTCAGGCAGACTGAGGGTGTCTAGCTACAAAAGGAGACAGAAAATCAAGGCAGCTGGTCATGCTTTGTCATTTAAATTGGCAGTCTGTCTGTGTTGGGGAATGCAGAGAGCATGGGGGAAGGCACCATTCCAGGTGGGAACAAAGCATCTCAGACAGTCCCTGGTGGCCTTAGTGAAGGTGAACTGTTGCAACTGGGATCAAGCTGATCACACAAGGGGTTGATCATGCAGGCAGCGCACAGCCTGCACCCTTCCCTGTCTGGGTCCTTCCACCCAAACAGTGACCAAGGAGGCTCCTGCCAAGAGTGATGAAGACTCCTTATCAGAGGAAGACCCTCTGCCAGGCAGAGCAAGGCACCTGCAGAGCACAGCAGTCCCCTGCAAGCAGCAGAAGAGAGGAGGTGTTTGCAAAGTCCAGCACATCCTTAACCTCTCACCTGGCCTTGCCATAGACTTACATGACTTAGACCTCTCATCCTTGCAGTGAAATCTGTGGTTCTATGTCACATTTACCCTCAGACAGAGATCTTTTCTGTGGGAATGCCAGTCCTCTTGTGTTCAGTTTACAGGTTTTAAGTTACTCTCTGCATTTTGCCCTTTTCCCAGACACACCAGTGCAGTGGGCCCTGCACTCACTTGCTCAGGCAATGGGATTCTCCCTCTTTTTCCCTCACTCAGCCCTGTGCCAGTCCCAGAGGCTGTGTTCTCTGGCTCCCAGACCCTGTCCCTCCCATTCCTGTTCCCTCTCTTGGGCGTCACTGCTCCTGGGCCTGGCTTATAACATGGTGTGTGGCACAGGGACAAAGATGACAGGCTTTCCTCCCTGAAGGCTTTTCCTCTTGCAGAGGAAATCGGTTCATCGGTCTGAGCATTCAGCACAGCGATTGAGAGCAGCCTGAATCTGGAGCACCAAGTGGGCATCACTAGAACCATCTGAAAAGAGAGAAAAGAGGCAGTGAGCGAGGGATCGGGGCTGGAGGCCGTGTGCTCTGCAGGTGAGTGATCTGTCCGTGCTGGGAGCGGCAGTGTCAGGGCTGGGTGGGATACCTGGAGCATCACTATTGCTCCTTTGCTGTTACAGAGCTTCCATGCTGCTGCTGCAGCCCCGGTGCTATCCGGGGAGCCTTTCCAAGTGTGGGGCAGCTGCCCGCCCAGGCCTGCTGCCCCTGGGGACTGCCAGGAGCGAGTGCGCTGAGCCTGTGGCGTGGGGCGCCCGTGAGTGCCCGCGCAGAGGGGCTGAGCCGGGCTGGGCTCGGTACGGGGCTGCTCCATCCGCGGCTGCCGCGCCTCCCCGTCCTCCCCGCGGCCGTCGGGCGCCGCCGCTCCGGGTGCAGTGAGGCGCCGCGGCCGCCAGGTGCCACTGCCCGGCCGCGCTGCCCGGGGCCGCGCCCGCCCCGGGGTCCCTCCGTGCGCCCGTGCCTCCATCCCTGCGGGGACCCTCCGTGCGCCCGTGCCTCCATCCCCGGGGGTCCCTCCATCCCCGCGGGGCCCTCGGTGCGCCCGTGCCTCCATCCCCGCAGGGACCCTCCGTGTGCCGGGTTCCTCCATCCCCGCGGGGACCCTCGGTGCGCCGGGTCCCTCTATCCCCGCGGGTGCCTCCATCCCCGCGGGTCCCCGCCCTCGGGGCCAGCAGCTCAGCCCTCCCTGGTTGACTCGCGGGGCCGTGCGGAAAGCGCTGCCCTCGGGCTCCCAGCGAGCGCGGCCGCACACCGGAGCGGAGTGGAGCCCGTCCGTTCCCCGGCGCACACGCGGAACGGGGCGGCAGCTTTCCCTCCCTCGCAGGCCGGCTTTGTGCACCCTCGGCCGGCCGCGGAGCCCGCGCAGCGGCCGCACGGTTGTCGCCTCCAGGCGCCCCTCGCACGCCCATCCCCGGGGACTGAGGGGGCCGCTCCGCGGGGCCGCTCCTCTCTCCGGGCTGGGCGAGACCGTGGGATGGGGACAGCGGGACAGCGGGTGCGGGTGTGTGCGCGGAGGTGCGGGGAGCGAGCGGGAGTGCAAATACAGGCTGTGCCAGCGGTGCGGTGTGAGCGCGGAGCGAGGGGCGTGTGCGGGGGACGCGGTGTCCGTGTGGGTGCAGGGTGTGCGGTGTGCGAGCCGGGCTGTGTGTGTGTGTCTGCCTGTCCATGTGTGTCTCTGCCTGTGTCTGTGTGTGCGTGTGCGCGCACCGGGGGCAGCTCCCCACGTGGGGCTGACGCGGCAGCCCCGGCCCGATCCGGGGCTATAAAGCTGCTGGGCGGCGAGCGAGGCAGAGCAGCGGCGGCCGGCTGCAGCTCCAGCCTCGGCCCCGCTCCGCCCGCCCCGCCGCGCTCGGGGGTCCCGGGCAGCGCCCAGCATGCGCCGTGCCCGCCCGCAGCCCCCCGGCCCCCGGCGCGCCGCCCTGCCCCGGCCCGCGGCTCTGTAGGAGCGGAGCAGCCGCGCGGAGCGGGCGCGGCGCGGGTGGAGCCGGGGCGAAGGGCGGGGGTGTCCGCGCAGCCGGGGTTGATGTTTAACCTGGAGCGCCCGTTCACGGAGAGGGGCCACTTCTTCTCCTCCATGGAGTACCAGCGGCAGCTGGAGGAGGAGGAGGGCTACCCCCCTCCCGGCACTAATGGGACCTTCAACGACAGCGGGGCCGGCCCGGGCTGGGACGCGCCGTACCCTCTGCACACCACCATCACTCTCATCAGCCTGGCCAGCTTGCTCATGCTCTTCACCGTCTTTGGCAACGTCCTGGTCATCATCGCTGTCTTCACCAGCCGGGCGCTCAAAGCCCCCCAGAACCTCTTCCTGGTCTCCTTAGCCTCAGCTGACATCCTGGTGGCCACGCTGGTCATCCCCTTCTCGCTGGCAAATGAGGTGATGGGCTACTGGTACTTCGGTAAAGTGTGGTGTGAGATCTACCTGGCCTTGGATGTGCTGTTCTGCACCTCCTCCATCGTGCACCTCTGTGCCATCAGCCTGGACCGGTACTGGTCCATCACACAAGCCATCGAGTACAACCTCAAGCGCACCCCGCGACGCATCAAGTGCATCATCTTCATCGTCTGGGTCATCTCGGCTGTCATCTCCTTCCCACCACTCATCTCCATCGAGAAGAAGAGCGGGCAGCAGGCTGACCAGGGGGTGGCATTGTGCAAGATCAACGATGAGAGGTGGTACATCATCTCTTCTAGCATCGGCTCCTTCTTTGCCCCCTGCCTCATCATGATCCTGGTCTACATGCGCATCTACCAGATAGCCAAGAGGAGGACGAGGGTCCCGCCGAACAAGCGGGCAGAGCGCCCCGAGAAGAAGCAGAATGGCTTGGCTGACAAGGAGGACCTGCCAGCCACGGCGCAGCTCAACGGGGAGAAGGCAGCAGGAGGCAGTGGCGGGCAAGAGGGAGAGGTCAATGGCATAGACATGGAGGAGACCTCTTCCTCTGAGCACCAGGAGAACAACCAGTGCAAGAAGTCAGAGAAACCATCAAGAGGAAAGACCAAGACTAAGCTGAGCCAAATTAAGCCTGGGGACAGTTTGCCCAGGAAGACAGAGGAGGAGAGGAACACCAAAGGGTCCCGCTGGAGAGGCAGGCAGAACCGGGAGAAGCGCTTCACCTTTGTGCTTGCAGTGGTGATCGGGGTCTTTGTCATCTGCTGGTTCCCCTTCTTCTTCACCTACACACTGATGGCCGTCTGCGAGAGCTGCTCCGTGCCCGACACCCTCTTCAAGTTCTTCTTCTGGTTTGGTTACTGCAACAGCTCCTTGAACCCCGTCATCTATACCATTTTCAACCATGATTTCAGACGGGCTTTCAAAAGGATCCTCTGCAGGATAGAGAGGAAAAGGAGTGTTTGAAGGACCCTTTGCTACTGACAGGACTAACCAAGACTTTGTAGGAGTGTAAAGTACGTCTCTCTTGGGCTGTGCTTGCATGGGATGGTTTCCTTCAGCTCGTGAGCAGGAAGCCTTTAAAACCTGAGATGAGCCTGTGGGAGCACCGGGCAGCAGCAGTGAGGAGCAGCAGGCAAGTGGAGCTCCAAGCTGTGGCATTCGACTTGCCAGGGGAGGATGGCCTTTGACTCGCTTGGTTTATTTTGTTAGTTTTTTTTTCTTTTGCCAGAATCTCTCAGTGGATATTCTCATGACTGCTTAGTTTGACTCTTTAAAGGCAAACATTGTGCAGCTCTGTGAGATGAACAACAAAGAGGGAGTATGCCACACCAGAGGTGTTGGCTTTTTTATTTTGTTGTGTCTTTTTTCCCCCCCTGTTGTATATGTAATGAATTTTGACCCCCTTGTAAAATAGAGTATTGTATTCTTGAATTTGAATGTCTTAATTTTTGTAAGGCAAGCAGCTTTGAAACTGTGAATGCTTTAATTATCTTTGATACCTTAGAAGTCTTTCTTTTCCTACCCCCTGCAAAGCCCCTCACTCAAAACCACTGACCAACTAGAGCCATCCTCCTACCTGACAGTTTGATAATATTACCAAAATTCCCAAAATTCCCAAATTCCTGTTGGTTTTTTTTTTTGTTTTTGTTTTTTTTTTTTTTGGCTATAAGCTTAGGATCACAGACCTCACCAGACTGGCTATTTTTGTTGCTATTTTTTAATGTCATACCTGTTTCTGTTTAGTTTCTGTGCTGCCTGTGACACAACACAGCTGAGATGGCACCTGCCATCTCGTTACTCGTGAGAGCCCGATGGAGCGGTGGCTTTGCCGTGCAGGCAGGGATGTCCCAGGCAACAGGGACTGTCCCTCCCTTGCAACGTGAGCCTTGGGACCCTGCCAAGCTCCCCTGAGTTAATCTTGTTTGATATTATACCACTCTGCAGCACTGAAATGTGTTTGATGCTCACTTGCTTCCTCCACCTCAACTGTAAATAGGTAACGTTTCAAAGCAAACAGCAGGGCTCTGCATATCATGTTATCTCATCTGTGCTGATTTGTGATGGTTTAACTCCTGCAGGACTTCCTGCAGAGGGGAAGGGGTTTGTGCACAGTGGCCATTTGTCTTTCTCAATTAAGAAAGAGTTCAGTTTTTAACCTGCCAGTCTCATCTTTCCTAGGAAATAGGGAAGCATCCCTCTTTCAGTCTTATACAAGGCAAAACTCTGAAATGGGAAACTTAACTTCCAGTTTCTCCATTATTTTATAGTGTAATTAAGCCTTTTTTTTTTTTTTTTTTTAATCCAAGTGTAAATATTGTGAGATTGGAGCAGGAGAGAGAGTTAATACTGCTTTTACACTCTTTCCTGAAATGGCTTTCAGCTCTTTGTGCTAAAAAAAAAAAATAAATCCAAAACAAAAATGGGCAGAACAAATCTAACATCCTTGTGCCATGAATAAATTTCTGGAGAACATTTATAGGAAAAACTTTTGATTTAACACAATGAATAAACGAATCTGCAAGTCTTTTAATGTTAGGAAAACAGCTTTATCAAATGCTGACAAGTCACAGAAATGGTTTGGAGAAAGCAAAGTTTGTATAGGTTGAATGTATAAACGAATTTGCCTTCTCTGGAGTTGTGTGGTACACAGGAAGAGACTTTAAAAATACGTTTTTACTTTTGGGAAGTGTTTTGTTGATTTTGCTCTCTCTTTTGACTTTCTAATTAACTCCAAGTGTCCCTGGATGCATCTTGGGACTTGGAGAGCAGTGTTTACATTCACTTGCATTTTCAGAACTGAATCCTCAAGAGGTGAGGAAAGCAAATAAACTGTGCTTTAATGTAAAAAATTAAAAACAAAAACAAAACCAAACCATGAGCAGAAGTTGCTATAATGGATGATTATTTTTATTAAATAAAAAAGCGTTTACAGATCAAGTGTGAAAATCCTCTGAATAATGTTAGCTGCTTTATTGTATTGTATTTTATTTTATTTTCTGAACTGTTCACCGAGCTGCTGGTAGCTTTGCTCTTGCCACTTTTTGAAGAACACGCTGGGAAAAGCACTCGTGCTGTCTGAAAGGGATTGTCAGCCCAGGTAGGAACAATGGCTCTGTTCATTATGCAGTGGCATAATAACAAATGAGTCCTTGATATTTCTTGGGTATTTCCACCCCCCTCCCCTCTTTGTGCCCATGTGGGAAGGGCATTCATGTGTTTGTTAAAGAAAAGAGCGAAGGTTTGAGGGTGTGATTTGCACCCTGGGAGTGCAGCCTGGCACTGCTGCTGTGGGGACCTGCCTGGCATGGCACTTGCAGCCATTGGGAGGTTTTTAATAATCAGTTTGCAAATAGGATTAGAAACAATTAGGCGGGGAGGCAACATTTTGTGAAATATGCAGGAGTGTCCACCTGAGTGGGCCTTTGTTTCCAGAGCTTGCTTGCCCTTCCACCAGTGCTGCCAGGACCCTCCCGGAAGGAGATATGGGGGAACGTTCTCCCACTGAATGTGGAGCTGCTTCTGGTGAGAAAATAAATGACCAGAGCCCCGTGTGGAGCTGCTGCTCTGGGGGCCCCACTCTGCCAGTGCCCCAGGGCTGCAGCTGGAGGTGCCTGGCACAGGGGTAGGGGCCAGGCAGCATCTCTGCTGGGTGTAGGGCACCTGATGGTGGCCCAGAGATGAACATCTGGCTCACCTCGTGGTGGCCTTTGCAGCTCAGGGGAACTTGTTTTGGGTAGAGTGTCCTGCTCCCACTCTTGGCTGGCCCTGATGGCCTGGGAGGGTTTTACAGAGCAGAGATCCCATGGGAGACTCTGGGTCAGCCCCTGGGACCCGAGGGGATCCAGAGCCATTGACTGCACTTGCTCCACCCCTCTGGCTGTCAGTTGTCCTTGCTGCCAAGTCTCTAGAGTGGACAGTAGAGTGTTTTGCTGGGTTTGGGGCTGGGAGATTGAGGCTCTTCCCCTTCTGCCCCCAACTCCCTCCCCATCATTGCTTCCAGGTCATTCCCTTGCAAATGACGCATTAAGGGATGTAATGAACTTTGATTGTTTTTTATGACCTTTCATTTTGGGGCTGAAAGGTTAATGGTGTGAGGGGAGGGAGGGGGACCTGTCTGCCCAGCTGGGTGGGAGCCAGCCAGATGGGCACACCAGGCAGAGACTCCCCTGCCAGCTCTGCCCTGGGAGAGGTTTCTCCACCACTTTGCTCTGTGGGGTGACCCTGCGCGCCACCCCTTGTGTGGGCACCCCCGAGGAGGGCACAGAGGTGCCACACAAGGGGTGTGCAGGAGGGGCTCAGGTGAGTTGGTCTGGTGGAGCAAATGTCCTGAAATGCTTCTGGGAGAGCTGCATGAGCAGCAGGGCTGCCCTTGCAGAGACCTGTGGCTGCCTGCCCAGGGCCTGTCCCTGACCCCCTCAGAACCTCTGATGTATTCATTTGTTTCCATGGGGTTCTGGTCCATGTTCTCAGGGGACCAAGGAGCTGGCCACGCAGAGGATTCTCTTTCCAGTGAGGGAGGGACTTGGCCTGCTCACTGTGCTCACACAAAATGAGTTTCCCACACCCAGAGGAGCCTTGGTGGATTTCAGGCAGTGTCCATTGGCCTTCCTGTGCTGTGAGTACCCCCAGTCCCACCCTGCATCCTCCTGCCCAGGGGAAGGTTCCCTCTGGGTTGGGTGGTGGCCCTGCTGCCTGTGCAGCTTTCACCAGTTGGAGCTCTTTGTCTTATTTCTTAACATTCTCTGTTCTTTGGAAAAGTTCAAAGTCTGTTGAGATTGCTCCATTATTACAGCCAGTGCTCTGACAGACTGCTCCACTTGCAGCTCTCATCTTCTCTGGTATGAACTGCTCTTTGCAGCTGGCTTGTAGGAACATCTCTGTGACTTGTGGAATGTTTGTAGTAGCTGTGGTTTCTGTGCCTTATCTCAAGTTGTAGAAATGGAGTGAAGAGAGAGCAGAATTTGTGTCAGCCCAACCCTTGCAGCAGCCACTGGTACTCCCTCAGCTCACAAATGCTCAGGAGCAGATCCCAACCCCTCTGGGAACAGAAAGTGTCACAGTCTGAGCCCTGGGAAGCCCAGGTGAAATTCCACATGGGGTCACAGTGCAGGGAGGCTACAGCACAATCCCAAATATCCTCAAGGCTGAGCAGAGGGGATGGTGAGTAGGGCTGTGGAGGACACAAAAATCCTTGCCTTTTTGTGTCACACCATGGCTACTCCCAGGAGGGAGGTGTCATGCAAGCAGAGGAGGAGGAGGAGGCCTGCTGTTGTGGAGCAGGGCTTGTTGAGAGGTGCTGGATGGAGATATTGATGTTTGAGCTGGTTATTCAGCATTCTTCCATCTTGGGACACCTTCTTGGCCGTTTCAGTTGTCCCCTAGGAGAACTCATTTCCCAAGGAGGACCATAAATATTGAGGACATCATCTCACATGCAGGAGTATGGGGGTGTGAGGGGGTCTCAGCACCCAAGTCCAACAGAGAGACATGAGGGCAGGCCATAAAAGGGAGCAGGAAGACAACTCCCTCACTTGAGCACAGGTGTCATCAACACAGGTAAAATCTTGTTGGATTAAACTACCTTAAAACTGCTCTAGCTGGCTCTGGTTTAGTCTGTTGTTGTGATCATCAATTCCATGTTGGCTAAGTTCAGAGAGAGCCCCTCTGCTGGCTTGGATCTAAGGTCCTGCTTTGCTTCTGTGTCTCTGAGAGTGGCCTGGAGCAGATTTCAGAGAACAGTGAAGAGCAAGGACCCTTCCCAGGAGGCTCGGGGGTCATTGGGTGCTCTGGGATTTCCTGGGGCCAGCAGTGCCTTTTGCACTGGTGCAGAAATTCCACTGACATGTGTTTCCTGTCGGCAGTGCTCTGCAGCAGGAGGTCTGGAGGGCTTTCAGAGGCATGTTTGAGTCAAAAGCCAGCAGTTGGGTCTGTGTGAGAGTGATGGGGGGAATGGGTTTCATCAGGAGGTGAGATGAGCTGACCTGAGCATCCCTGCTTCCCTGTGTGCCATGCCTGCAGCCTTTGGTCCAAATTGGTTTGGGCACAGCCCAGGATATTCCATTTGCAGGAGCAGCCTTGAGGCCCCCCAGAGCTCTGTGACCTGCTGCAGGGTTCACTCCCAGACATGAGAAACATTTGCTTTAAGTCAGCTGCTACATGGAGGAATAGATTGCTCTGTTGCTGCTTGAAACAGTTGTGTTTTGCTGGACCATGACTTTATGGCCTTTTTTCTTGTTTGTTTTTCAATTGCTCCCCACAGAAAAGAACAAGCTTCTCATTGCTGGACATTTCTGGTAAAATAATTTCTGGTGAAGGCTGCCTTTTCTTCATCTGTGCATGTGGCATTGATGCAAAGTATTCATCTTAAGTTTGACACCTTAAGGTGTTACTGAAAGATTCTCCAAGTAACAAATGAAATAAATGTAGAAATATTTAGGACTCTGCACCCAAACTTATTTCCTGAACTGACTGAACTTTTTTAAAGAGTGAAAAGCTGAATTCTGGTCTTTTGCTACCAGGATAACTTTTGGCACTAGAAGAATTTGGACAAACTGTTCCTCTTGCAGGTTGGACCCTGAGGTGGCAGACCTGGCAGATTGGCTGC